GGGCAAAAATGACTTGGAACTTTTTCTCAAAGGGCACCTGGAATCCTAAACCATTTTTTAGAAGAATTTTTACCTCAGAAGTTTCAAAAACAGAGTATTTTTTTTACCCCATTATTAAAAATCCCTAACTTTTGACCGTTAAACTAACATTTGACCGAGGATATTTTTGTATTTTTTTCCTCCTTCCTTTTGTGTTTAGTCTTTGATTTCATTCTTCAGTGAATTCTTTAATTTTCCTTTGATGAATCTCTATGTTTTTATATATTTTGAGGAGTTTTATTGATCTTTTAGAGAGTCATCTAGTTATTTTTATTTATTTTGTCTTGTGTTTAGTGTTTATTTTGGTGTTAGTTAGCTTATCTTGTAAATATTGTGTTTTCATTTTATTTTAGAGTAATTTCTTTTGTTAACTTGAATCAATTTTTATTTTAGGAAACTCTACTAAAGCTTGAAAGAGGTGGAGAAGGAAAATATAATAAATTTAATGAAGAAATTAAATTTTTATGATCACCTGCTACAATGAGTCAGTGTTATAAGGCAAATTCTGAACTAAAAACAGAGCCTACTATAGAGGTTGCCATAGAGGATTTCACACCAGAATGTACAGTTTTAATTTTTCTGTCTGATAAAAGAGGAAAACTAGGGTTTTTTGAAGGAGGCTTCATTTCTTACATTCTTTGAATGTCCATTGGTGATTTTGGACAGTTTAGGATGATTTTAGAGTTTAGGAGCAAGATAACTCATCACCATCTATATTTTCACTGAGTTTCTTTCACTTTTCTCTTTCTTTCTCTTATGTATCTAATTTCATCCCATTACTCTATTGTTTTGAGATTATTTTTAACTATGTGAGGTTGAATCTTGATACTCTAAAGTGCTATGAACTCATTTGCTCCAATTGTATCTTGATTTGCTAATTACTTTATGATTCATGGATGTTTTATGTTTTAACTCCAGTTTATATTTGTGTTGCTTGGTGATTGACCACCATTAAGTGATAATTTAGAGGAACATAATGAATTTGGGTAGGAATTTCCATTTGAAACATTGGAATTGAATACTTAGGATTAACTATAATTAATTTGCCTCTAGAATAGGAATGTACCTAAAGGACCTAAATGGTTAGAAGAAATTTGAACTTAATGCTCTAAACCTTATTTTAGCAAGGAATTGTTGGGTTAAAATTAAAAAAGATTTAGAGTAATCGAAAGATATTCAAGATTAATTTTAGTCTCCCAACCCTTAAAACTAAAATTAAAATCAATTTAATCAACAAGTTAAGTAGGGTGCTTTCCTAATATGTTCTTGACTTTAGATTGTTTTAAACTTAGTTTCTCATTTTACATTTTTAATTTTTAATTTGAATCTTTCACCACTATAAGTTTCTTGCTTAACTTGAATGAAATTGAAAATTTAATATTTATTTGCCAATTTACTTAATTCTCTATGAGATCAACCTTGATTTTCCATTAGCTATAATTGCAACCTGTACACTTGTAGTGTCTCTTTATTTTTGTGTGCATCGTCCTTCTTCCAACAAATGAAAACAAAAACAAAAAAAAAGCAAAAAAAAGTATGGAAAAATCGTAAAACACCCTGATCAAATTTCAGTTAACAGTCAACATTAAGGATTTTCAATAGTGGGGTAAAAATACTCCAAAAAAAGTTTAGGATGCCAAGCACTTCTGGAGAAAATGTTTCAATGTATTTTTGCCATTTAACCCTATTATATATCATCAATGTTACAATACGGAGAGTCTAGCATTTCTATAACCATGTAACCATATATACTTAAAAACAAAGCCAACATATATAAAACGAAATTGCCTAAATATTAATCAAAATATTTTGTTACTTCTTGCCCCTCTTAGGCTTAGAATTTGAAAGAATACCTTCCTTGACAAAGTAAACCTTTCTAGATGACTTGTAAGCTTCCAAACACTCACCCTCTATCTCCAAGTGCTTAGTCACATCATTAAAAGTAATGATGTTCTCATTGTAGGTTAAGTTAACTTTCATATGCTCCCAACTGGTTAGAAGTGATCTTGTTATAGTCTGCACTTGCTTCTCATTAGATAAACCATGCCTAGGTTCCTTAAGTTCACAAATCATGTTGGCCATCTCCCTAAGGTGTTGTTGCATAAGAGTATTTAGCTCTAGTTTATAAGTGTTAAACTTAATCATTAGCCTTCTTAGTTTGGTGGTTGAGGTACTTCTTAACTTCTCTTTCAAGGTATCCTACAAGGCTTGGGCTGATGAGTACTTTTCAAATTTGCACATTAGAATGTCAGACATGGTACTCAAAAGGGTAATTTGTGCTAAATTGTTTTTTCTTTTCCACATTATGTATGCCTTTTGATCTCTCCTATGTTGAGCCGAGTGACCTACCTTAGGCTTAATCATGACTACGGTTAGTGGCTTGACAATATCCCACTCTTTCATAATGTATGACACCTTGTGGTGCCATATATCCCAACTATTCTAGTTTAACTTGTTCCTTTGTTAAGTGCAATGATAATATTTTTAATTACCATTCTTACTATTCTCTATTTTTATCTTCAATATTATTATACATCAATATATTCATCTATTAAATGAGTGAGTTTGCATCAAGATCACTTAATGATCAAAATTTCTCTATTATTTATCTGAGTAGACTTAAAATAAAGGAATCTTAAGTTGGTGTTAAAAGTACATCTATGAGGGAGAAAGAAATAAACTTGTGATCAAAGGTATTGATATCATAGCTTGCACCATTCACTTCTCTTCTTCAATCTTCATAGATAAGACTTTTATAATTGGAGTCAATAAATGATTTGTTAGACTCATTAAAATAGCCATTGGAGTAATCTCCTTCTTTCTTCTGATCTTTTCCATAAAGTATAAGTCTTTTTAGTGCTTTTGACAAAGTTATCTTGCATCTTGTAAAGTATCTGTTAAATATAATCAATTTTTCATTGCTCTTCAATCTTGAGTGTTGTAGATGTAAGTGCAAGTTGTAGCTTTGCAATGGTATTGCTACCCAAAAAGGATGATGTCACACCTTAAAATTTAGGCATGATTGGCTCAAAACATACACAGAAACTCACATCCCTTAAGCCGTAATACTAACTCCTATATTTTAATTATAATGCATTCATGATATTGAGTACGGTTCCTTAGTTTATTTTATTTTATTTATAAAAAATGTAAATAAATTTTCTATAGCATTTGATATAGAATCTCTTAAAAATTCTACAACAACAAATTCAGTACCAACAACAATAAGTGGTTTCGCTCTTACCAATAGACAAACAAATAATAGTTAATTAATATAAGAATCCTAACTATAATTTATGTAGAGTATCTATAATAGAATTTACAAATTACACAATATAATATATAAATTCAAGTGTTATTACAAATAGAAATTTAATCAAATTAATGCTTTAACTTAAATTTGGAAGTATACCCTTCAATGATTCTTTGGAGGTCTAAAGCCATCTATAATATTTGAGGCCAAAAATTTTTCTAGAGATTAACATTTCAATAATAAAATTAAAGGATTCAAGATAAATAAATTCATCAAGTAAATTGGTCCACAATTAAAAGAAAATGCCAATATAATATAATAACTGAATTTGAAGATTAAAAGATTCTATAGAACTTCAAAAGTAACGAATCGGTAAATTTATAATGAAAAAATTTTAACACTTGATCTTGTAAAGTAGAATAAATTAAGTAAATAAAAATAATAACATTCACTATTTAAAATCAATAAAGTGTATATACATTCACAAATCAATTAAATCTTAGGACTTTACAAAACAGATAATAAACGTGGATACATAATTCACAAAAGTAAATAACCAAATGTAGCTTATGTTGTAAAAATAAAAGTAGATACATAATTTATAAGGGTAAGTAACTAAATACAACTTCAGGCACAAAATAAATATGAACACATAATACATGAGAGTAATACTAACCAAAACCTTGGACTAGTACATGAAATCTATTTAAGAAAAATAATATTTCAATAAAAAAATTTGTTAATAAATTTATTGAGATGTATGTCATTCAGTTACCTGATGCGTTCCCAAATGCATTACTTGCTCCAAGTCAATTGCTTACACAATGTGGACCGCTCCTTAATTCTCTAAGACCCAATATGCTGTTGCTGTAATTTTTACATACATTTTAACTGAGTATAAACCCAAATTTTTTAAATTACTTGAGGCTAGTATTTAACAAGCCAAAGGGCACATTCCAATCCCATGTCTATCACAAATTCAAAAGAAATAATTAACATCAATTTTTTAGGAGTAGAGTAATGGGTCATGCGCGTGTACACACACACGCCTCAAATAACTGTGAATTTAATTCACACCCCCCAATAACTATGAATTTAATTCGTAAATATCAAAAATATCTAATTAATATCCACAATTTTCAAGTTTTAAAGTGGACAATATATAACTTCTATACAAGCAACTTTTTAAAAATAAAATCATCAAAGTCTAGTGCAAAAGTTATTAAAAAAGTAGTTTTCTTCATGAACTTTAAAGTTCCTCTCATGCTAAAGATAGGGTATGTAATGACTAAGAATTTTTCAATTTTTTGAAATATGTAATAAATGATTAATCAATAAAATAAATTAATAATTGAGAGAGAAAAAAGTCAACTATAAAAGAGGAAAAAAGAAAAGAAAAATAATTAATATTATTAAGATTTGTAATAACATATTATTATATTATTAAATTTTTGGAGTAGATTTAACAAGATATACTAATGGTTTAGTGGAAATATATCTTGTTCTTTATTTGCAGATGTCAAGTTTCAATCCTCCTAATTCGAAGGAGATGCATTTTATTTGGTTATATCATTGTCAAAATAAATAAATAAAAAAAAGAAGAAGAAAAGTATTAAAATGCTCCTCTTTAAAAAAAAAAAAAAAAAAACATAAGCCATCAGATTTTATTTGTCCCTTCACTTTTATCTGCCACGAGCATGTGAGAAAGAGAGACGCAGAGGGTGTGACAGGAAGACAGTCCAAAAGCTTCAAACCCTCCGTTCTGCAATCACTATCTTTGCCTTCATCCTCTGTTCTCAGCGTCGCCGGCGTAGGTAGCAAGGACACTGTGCGCCGCTGCTCTCCTCCCTCTATTTTTTTTTTCCCCTTTTCGGCGTGATTTGCTCAACTGCTATCTCCTCTTTGTTTCTTCACTTTCTGACTGCTGTAGCTTGTTGAAGATCTTCTCCTTCTTTGTTCATCGGCGTCTTCCATTTGTTGGTGTGAAGCTCAACTTTCTTCTCTCCTTCCCGCGCTATCACTGGTCTTCTGGTATGAAAAACTTGCTCTGTTTTCTTTTGTCTTCTTGGATTCTCATTGCTGGCTGACGGAATGAGAGAGAAAATTTGAGGTTTATCTAAGTTCTAATCTTGGAATAGGATTTTTGTCTGAGTAGGTATTTTCTGAAATTTCATTCAATCTATGAGAAGCTTGATTTGATAGGTTTCCTTTGAGTTTGTAAACTGATTGTTTGGTTGAAGAAGTGAAAATTTGGAAGCTTGTTTAATTCAAATGTTGTTATTTAAATTTTTGGAAAGGGAATTGAATAGAAAGAAGCTTGTTATTATTTTGAACTTTGATGCATAAGATGCTTGAATGGAGAAATTTATTATTGGTTGTGTGCTGAAACTGTTAGTTGATTATCGTTTTGTCTTTCAATTTGTCGTAGATAAAGTGTAGAAGAGTTGGAATGGAGTTATTTAATATATTCAATGTCTTTAGGACTAATATTATGGATTTTTGATCTGTTTTTAATGGATTTAAATTTACTTTTGATGAAGAAAAGAATTTGGTAAGCGCAGAAAATTTATTTGGATGTCTAGAAATTTTTTTGGGAAAAAAATTTGAAGCACAAGTTGGTTGCTGTATGGTTTAATTTTGAATGCAAGTTCAATGAAAGGTTTGATAGGAGGATGTTAGTCTATGGTAACAAATAAATGTGATATATGTATTATTGATGGATAAAATTATCACAGGAGGTATGATTCTTCACAATGAAAGGCTGGAAATAAAGTTAAGAATTTTGGGGGAGAAAAATAGTAATTGGTTAATAATTTAAGTAGGAAGATTGATTTTGTTTATGTTAACTTTTAGGTGCATATAAAATATTTGATAAGATGTTTGCGAAAGAAAAATTATAAAAATTGGACATATATGATTGATAATGTTGAATTAATCATGGTAGAAGTTGTTTATTTTTTGAGGAAGACCTGAAAATTTTGAATATTGTTTGTATACGTGTATGTCAAAGATTCATTGATTAAACTCATCATGGCATTTTAATTATTTGTGAAAAGTTTATTCTTGAGCTTTTCTTTTCCATTTCTCTAAATTTGTTTGGAGTGAAAATTTTGAATATATAAACAAAAGAAGCAACAGTGATGTTACTCTGGGCAATAGGGAATTAAGGCACAGAAATTATTACAAAAGTGATCAATTAAGAGTAAATTTTATGTTTGGGAATGTTTCAGGTAAGTAAAGAGCATCCCAAATGACTTATTAGCAAATTTATTTTCTTCATAATAATATTTAAGTACATTCATAACTATTTATATCATTATATTTTAAACTTTATTATTAACTATTTTGAATAAAAATGTTTCTACTATATATAGTTTTATAAGAAGAGTTAAAACTATTTATGATCAAGTACCCACCATTTTTTTTAATATATTGGCAATGTTTGATTTTATGATTTAAGGAATGATTTATTATTATGACTCATGCATGCTTGATTTAAAGTGTGGGATCGAATCAGAATACTGGTTGTTAACAGCAGTTCCGTTAGCCGTTGGTGCGTCATGGTACACCTAGCTAGCAGGATATTTATTGGAGATGCTAGCCCTGTGTGCAGGCCAACACACATGGAATGGAGAGATAGATATTTGTAAGCATTGTACTCATACTTGTTCTATGGCTCTTGCCACTATTGTTTCGTGGCTTCCAGCTGTGGTTAACTGGTTACTTACCCTCATGGACTATGTGTCCATGCTTTTTTGTTATTTACTCCCATAGACTGTGTGTACACGCTTGTTATTCATTTTGATAAAGTTCTACCAAAGGATATTTTGAAATTAATTTTTTTAACGAATTTTATTAGATAAGTTGATTTTCATAAATGGATTTTTTTTGTAATGAGAAAGTTCCATTTCTTAACTATTTAAATACGAGTTTGATAGTTTAGAAAATGAAATTTCAACATTGTGTTGTTATCATATGAGGATGTTTCTAAATTAAATGCTTAAATGAAAATATTCTATTTGAGTTATGCACTACCGTTTTTTTAAAATAATTATTTTAGTTAAATGTATGCTTATTCTATTTATATTTCTTCCTTCTATCATTTTTAAATTTATTTTGGGATGCTATTCAGTAAAAAATATTTTGATTTTAGATAATAGCTGGACCCATATCATTTGTTGATCATTAGGAGCCTTGTCACTGATCTAAATTAGAAAAATCTCTTTGGTCAAATATCAACTTGATTTAAATGTGAGCTTGAGTATTATTTTGTAGTCTACTTTAAGTTTTCTTTATTGATTATAGATATAATCTTGACCTATTTCATGCATTGATTGTTTGTTGCTAAGGAGCGGAGCTCCTTGTTGTTGAATTGTTATCAATTTGTTGTTGTAGAAATATTTGAGAGTTTTTCTAGAATTTTTAAAAGAGTATGACTCTTTCTATGTAGTGAAAAGCATGGTAAAAATTTATAATCTTATTATTAATAAGTTTAAAGTATTAAATTAAAAGTTTCTTAAAGTAAGGCTTATATACGCACGTCCTATGTTGGTCACACCTTATTTTCAAGGTGTGACAAGGTAACTAGGAAATTATCAAGAAATCGAGGTTCCATATCACCATAATTTACACATAATAGCTTCACCATATAACTTTAGCCATAATCAATTACTTAAATGGGTAGGGTTTTTCCTTAGGGTTTTTTAACAAACACCTTATACGCATCACTTTACAACCACTCACGCAAGTTTCCTAACCATCAAATCCCCTGCCCAAAAATTTTCAAATCTCGACATTTAAATTTATCAGATTTTTTTCCTAAACTAAACTCCAATCAAGAAAAGATCAAGAAAACCTACTCTAAATTCTTCCTCTCACAATAACTACATATACAAATGAAATTCCCTACCAAAACATGCTCGACTCAAGTTTCAGCTTACTTGAACATCCTTCACTCTCCCATTCAGCATCCGTTGAAATAGGAAGGAAAAATCACATCTTACTACAACCCAATCAACACACATACACACAGATCAGACAAGGGAAGGAAAGACTGGAAGATCCTCACCTCACATTAGCGATGGCAGAAGCAAGAAGATGGAGAACCTGGCCGTATGAACGTAGAGGAGATGCCGACGCACGAGTAAGGAAGAACAGGGGAGGAAGGCAGGAGCACTACACACAAGAAAAGGAGAGGGACAGAGTAGAAAACACCAGCGTGTGAGTATAGTGAGGATTTCCCTCACTGTGCCACTCACCGTGGCTGAGGATGGGTACGCCACGGCGTATGGTATAGAATTTTGATAAATGAGATTGTGGTAGCTCGTGAGAAATAGAAAGGAAACAAGGAGGAAGGGATTAAGGTGTGGAGAAGAAAGATTTCTTTGCTAGGCAAGCAATTCTAGGAGAAAGGATGATGTTTTTGACTTGTTACTTATCGGGTAAGCCCCATAATGCCTTAACCTATGATTCTACCCTATTTTATCTTAGTTTTAACTATTGAGAAATTAAATTCAAAGGTTTTAAGGAGATAATTTCTTACTCCATAGTAATATAAAGGTCCTATGGGACTAAACTAGTACCTTGTGACTACTTTAAGTTGGAACGATAAAGCTTTGAAGCTATAGGTATAATCTGATCTAATCTAAAGAGAGTGGTCAGAGAGAATTTGGTTGTGAGGAAGTTGATGTTTGTAGTGAATGATGATTAGTCATAATGCACGTGAGTGAATGCGAATAAGGAAAATGATAGCGATTAGGTATTAAATTACAATAATTGCTACTTTTGTCAATAGTGAAATTGACTTTAGTTTACCAATTTGGTATAGATTCTTGTTTGTGATGAGTTGAATAGCTAAAAAAGCTCGAATAGAGTTGTGGAACACGGGTAACCTTTTCCAATAAACTGAAGGATTGATGTAACTATATAGTTTGTTATGTTAATTAGCTATTATAATTATGTAAAATAAATATGAAATTGTGAATTATTGTTTTATGAGTTTGTATGCATGATTTGGCATTGTAAATAGTTTTAGCATGAAAATTAATTTATAAAATAATGTTTGAAGGATTATCAATTTTAATTGATATATTTATATATATATTGTGTGTGTGTGTGTGTGTTATGAAACATGGAAAAGTGGTGAAATATGTATGAAAAGCATGATCATGGGGGTGGGAGTTCACCTATGGTATGTGTTGTGGAGATGAAAGTGAATAAATTCATATGATCAGGCTGGCACCATGGGACATTTAGTGTAGTGTATTATGAGCTGGTACCATGGGTAATCCGGTACAGCATTATATTGAGACTGTTACCATGTGACATTCGGGCAGCTTGGCAACTCCCTAGTGCCTGTTAGGGTGTGGTTAAGAGTTAATGATGCCTCTATCATAAGTGTGTAAGATGAGGGAAATCACAATCCTTAGGTGGGATAGATTACCTTTGGCCGGGTGTTTCTACCACCAAAAGTGTACTCAAGTCAATGAGTGATTGATCCAGTAGAGCCTATAGTTTCATATCAAGGAGCTTTAAAGGATCGGTGGATAGATGATCATGCTAGTGTGAAAAAATGATTTATATGAGAAAGTTATGAGTTAAGCTATATTATGATAAATAAATATGCTATGCTTTGGTTTTACTACTTGACATGGTTATTTGTGCTAATAGACATTTAATGAGCCATATTGGTTATTAAGATTTTAATTTCACCCATGGTTATTTATATTTTTTAGGTTGTGGTGGTTGTGGTGTGAAAGGGAAGGAACTGGGCCGAGAATAGAGATTTCTCGATAAAGCATTGTAAGAATTGGTGTAATAAATTTTTATATAAGTAATGATAAATGTGTATATAAGTTGCCATAGGAAAGATGTGCATTTTACTGTAAATTTTTATGGTGTTTGGTGTTTTGATTTCCTAGCCTTGTGTATATGAGCATATATGATGAAATGATAGTATGGGCTAGTGGATAGATGATAATGTGAGTAGACATGGTGAATATGGAATATGTATGTGAAATTAGCCATGTGAATGAATAAGATTGGAAAATGAGAATTTGCCCAAGTTATGTGTAACAGGCAGTTTACAGGTCAATCGTGTGTATGTGTGCTATATTGTATATATAAATAGTCAATCAGGTGTATAATGTCCATTTGAACGTGGTCAAGGTCGTAAAAGTGGCTAATAATTTGTGATTTCAATTGGTGATATTCAAGTGATAAATTTTGACTTAAAACGACAAAATGCATCAAAATGCACTTGAGTGTCTAATTTTCAAATGAGATATTGTATTTAAAGTAAACTAGTGTCATTGGTTAGATTTTGAAACAAGCTTCATGTGGGTGCTTGAACCACCCTAATCAGACATTGAATGCAAAAATGGCGCATTTTAAAGTTCGTGCTAGAATCTAAAATTTGACAGTCGATTATGATACGTGCGCTGCAATACATGTGTTAATAAAAGACCACATACCTCCACACATGACACAGAGAGTGACGTTGAGGTCTCTGTGTCACATGCCATGGCGCAGGTGGCACGAGCCGTGGCACATGGCCCCTCTTTTAACTTAATTAATTGAATTGCATATGTTTTCTAATTGATTTTGAAGTGCTATTGCATAATACTTCTGCTATGTAATATTTTATAACTCGTATATATATTATTAAATGATTTTAGTAACATTTTTATATTGGGGTACCAAAGTTTTCAAGTTTATTATTTTGATTATTAGTTTAAGTGGAGGGTTATGTGGTAATGTCGTTAAGGGCATTATGTAAAGCGTTGTGTACCCTTGCCGAAGGGGGAGGGGATCCAATATGGGATCTCATTTAGAAGTGAAAAGGGCTTAAATGTATCCAAATGTTTATGAGGTTGGCTTTTCATGAAAGAATTACGATTGCACAAAGGAGAAGTTATTTGTTTGGCTCTCCTTATTATTGTGAACTTTGCCATCAAAAAATTGAAGATGTTATACATGTTTTGAGGGACTACCCTTTTGCAAAAGAAATATGGATTGGTTTTGTTTTCACCATTGATTAAAACTAATTCTTTTCTATAAATAAATATGATTGGTTCACCTGGAACTTGAAAGGAAAGGATCATACTAATAGATGGAGCTGGGCAGTGGTTTATGATTTTGCTTACTAACTAGTAATTAGGGTTATCTTCGAGTTATTGGAATGTATGTCTCACTTCGTTACTTTTGAACATAGGTGAAAAGAGCGTAAGAAGGCTGAGAAAGGAAGCGAGGAAAGAGTAGCCTTGATTGGTAGTGGTATAACTACCATTTGTGTAAATGAATGTATAATGTGTTAATACAATTGAGTTGCTAACTAAGATGCATAAGTATATGTGAATATGAGAGTGAATTGTGTTGCAAAAACTTGCTTGTATATATATGGTGTTGTATTATGCCGAGGGTGCCTTAGTGGAAGGTACATGGGTAGGCCTAAATGCGAAACAATCAAGTATATGTTGTTTTGTAACTTGTTCCACTTGTGTATATATATGTTGAATATGAATTGATTATGAATTGTGTATGCATTATATATACATATATATATATATATATATATGAGAACTTGACATAGCAGAGCCTCGTTTGGAAGAGTCTGAGAGTTAAAAGTGGAACAAGTCTAATTATATATTTATGAATATGTGTTGTATGTGTATTCCTCATATAAGTCCACAATTGTGTAATGTGGCATTGAGAGGCCAAAATGGGCAATTGATATGGTATTTGTGGTATGAGGTGTCAATTAGGTATATGTGGTTCTTTTGAACTTAGTTCAAAGCCCGAAGTGGTCTAATGGGATAAGAAATGAGAATTGAGTACTTAGGGTACATGTTTTTGGAAGAAAAGTGACTTTTTCCACCCCGGGTGTCCAATTTTAGATTGAACTGTTAGATTGAGTCCAAACTTATTCCATTAGCTAGTACATGTCATAAATCTCATGTGGGCGCTTGAATTACTCCAATCAGACGTTGGATGTGGAAATGGTGAGTAGCAAAATTCATCTTTCGAGCTATCATATGACAGTAGAAATTATTGTCATATGCGCCGCGGCGCATGGCCCTTTTTTAGGGTTGAAAAGTTGTATTATGTTAAGTCTTTTAAATGCGTTTGTGCTTTCGTTAGCCCTCTTATTTGAATATATGTTTTAAGAAGTTGGAATCCTGCGATTTAAAAATAAATAAAGGGCTATTACTCTTATATTGATTTGTGATTGCATGGTTATTTGTGTGATTAAGAATGGTAAATTTCAAATTGAGTTGGGACTTTACACAACATAGCTAACATGGCTTAAGTACTCCATACAAAAGTTGATAGCCTCTTGACAAATATGTCGTTCAACAATGCAACCCTTCGGTCAACTCTAATCTTTCATATAGCCTTTCAAAATCTTTATGTAACACTCAATTGGATACATCTATCTTAAATAAGTAGGCCTACATATTTGAACCTCCCTAACCAAGTATTCAGTTAGGTGGATCATTATATCAAAAAATGCTGATGGAAAATATATCTCATGTTCACATAGTGTTAATACAATTCAAGCTTGCAACCCCAGCAACTTATGGGGCTTAACCACTTTAGTACAAATAGACTTGAAAAAAAAATATAACTTAGTGATAGTCCCTTATACTTGAGGGAGCAAAATTTCACATATAACCACCGAAATGAAATCTTCCATGAAAAACATGACAATCATGAGACTTTAAGCTCTTCAACTTGCCTCTATGCATTTTGTATTCATGTTTTCTATAATATAAACATGCCATATTGATTTTTTAGTACTATATAAATACTGTATGAGGCTATATATGTAATCCATAGACTATGTGTGAGAGTTATAATGTTGAAACTTTGAACAATAAACAAGCTAAAAAATGGATGTTAAAAAAAAGTTTTTGGGTAAATGGATGACATAAATGTGTAGAGCTCAAAAAAATGAAAAAAAAAATGATAACAAGAATGCATGAAATGGAGGTGAAATGGAGGAGATATGCTCCCAAAAGATTCAATTCGACGGACAGACCCAAGCCATCACTCCAACTAAATTGAAGCGATTTGGCTAGAGGTTAGGGATGACTCAAAACGGTATGTTTGGAGTCATAAAAAAAACTTAATAACTTCTGGGCTGGTGAGCCCAAAAGCATTAAAAAGGATGGATTTTGGGTTGGCAAGTCTAATAACCCATTATCATTAAAAAAAATTCTAAGCCAAAGGTTGCTTTGGCTTTTAAAAAAAAGGATAGGTTGGGTTGATGGACCTAATTTAGTGGGTCCTCGAGTTGGGTTTGACCAAACCTGACGTAGTTAATAAATATTTAAACAAGTTTAAAATTTTAAAAAACAATTTTTTATTATAAAAAGTGACATGTGGTGTATGGGGCCTATAAGGATGCCTAAGTGGCATGTGGAGGACCCCACGTGAAAGCTAATAGTATGTGGAGCACACAGGAGCGGTGTGTGTCACCAATAGAGTCCTACAAGTTAGCATATGTCTTATATGTGCCACCCAAGAGAGTGGGCTTTTTTGAAATTTTCAAAATTTTCTTGTCTTCTGACCTTCTTAAGGTGCATCAGGGTGCGTGGCATCTTTGGTTGAGATGTAATTTATCTTAAAACATCTCTAAATTTAATATCTTCATTTTGATATTCTATTTGCCTATATTGACACAAGTCTAGAAATTTTTTTTTGAATTTTTTAATGCATTTTGTAAGTTTTAATAGTTTAAAAATTACTAATTTTTATTGTTCTTTTAAGAAAATATGAAGCAAGAGGCTTCAAGTAGTAATAAAAAACCCAAAACACTATTTAGCATTGAATATCTAGATGAGCAAAATTATGAGCCACTTAATGAGAATTCCAACCTGGAACCCTTTAAAGAGGAGGAGGAGGAGTATGAATCTCAAAGTGAGAATTCTGATCTTAAAGAGGATCCTAATGACAATCTCAAAGATGTGATAGAAGAGCCCAAAGAAGTGCGCATGATATTGGGACCAAAATGTAAATTAGAGGGTACTAAAGATCTTCAAGATGAAGACGAAGGTAGTGGAATAACTCTTCACACCCTTTGTTATAAAAACATAGCTAAAATAGATGCTAAAAGAATAAGAAGCCATATCACATTTCCTTGATTGTAAGAAAATATTCAAGCTTCATAAACAAAAAAGAAGAAGCCCTACTTGTGCGAAACATTTTCAAACAACTTAGGAAAGAGCTTATGAAATGAGGCAAGTCCTACTTAGAAAATCCTTTATGGAAAAGGGCAATCAAGGGGATGAGAGTGCACACAAAATACAAAAACATAATTAAGAATTGTCTTTTTAGGTTTGAGCTTGGAAAATGTAATGTGTTTTTTTTTTAATTCTATTTTTCCAGACTTTATGTTTTACATGTTATGTTGTTTGAAGACTACTCTTGTAAATATGAAGCATGTTAATTTTTAGGTTGATTAGTTTTTATTTCTTTAAATGCTTTGTTTGAGTGGGAGCTCTTAAGTGATAAGTCGTTTAAGAGCCAATATTGTGATTGTGAAAATATCTTTAGAATTCTTTATAGATGATAATAATATTATTAAAATCAATATGATGAGAGATACAAATGTAGCTTCCTAATCATTGACCTAATAGTGTTATTATTACTCTAGTAAAGAATATTAGAATAATACAAATATAAGATGTTGCATATTTCTTATAAATGCTTTTTTCTTAGTTTAATATAGAATACTATTAATGTAGGATAAATTTATATTAGAATTAAGAATGGCAACCAAAAACATTATCATTGAACTTAATAAAGGCAACTTATGAAATGGGATAGTTAGGATATGTTGCACCACATGGTGTCATACATTGTGGAAGAGCAGGATACTATCAACCTACTAACCATAGTCATGACTGAGCCCAATATAGGTAACTTAGTTCAATATAGGAGAGATTAAGAGGCATACATGGTATGGAAAAGAAAAAC